AGAGAGAGAGAGAGAGAGAGAGAGGGAGACAAACACAACAGTACGCTCATATTCCTCGCGACGAATATTACAAGCTATGATTCTGAACCCGCCCGGCATAATCGCATTGCGAGACATGGTATTGAAGGAACAAGCTCTTCTATCGGAATCGTCCTTCCCATTCCTTCGTATTAATAACGCGTATTATCTATGCATCACACAAACGATCCAGCTGCAAGCTTATTATCCTGTCAGAGGGAATTATCCTACTGTTAGTGCGGCTGTTCGTCCGGCAAAAAATAGTTGTTCAAATTCGCAAAGTGAAATCATCGAGTCGTCAATATTCTTATTCTCGAAAGATTAGCCGCGTACTTCCCTGGTATTTCGATGACTACTAGATATTCCGATGGGTTTTCCGTGACCTAAATTATATCAATTCAGAACAAGTTTAAAGTTCTCTGATTTTCTGAATCTGGTTCACTGCGTTTTTTTTTTCTACCATGCATTTCATAATTGGTTCAACCACGATTTGCATTGTCTCGTTTCAGCAAATTATTTCGATGCCCTACTTTAAAGTGTAACTCGGCATTCCTCGTTTCAAGAAAAGGCCACTCGAACTTATCGAAGCATATTGAGCTATTTCATTATCATGATTTTATTTGCAAAACCTGTCTTGATGGCAGATAAATAGCGTATCTTTCTAGTATGCGGATGAATATTAGATGATATCGTGATCTTTGTCACGAACATCTGAATTATCTACTTGTGAGCGTACATCTGTTAAACTTTTCAAACAAACTCGTACTTCACTTCTCGTTACCGATAACTAGGTCAAGATCATTCCGATAAGCTGGGTCACATCTTTTCAAATTTCAGTATTACATACAATTTCTCGATGTGTGCAAAGTATTTTTTTTTCTCGCGGACTCGCGAGCTGTTCTCGCGCGCATCATCGCGACAATTACTCTCGATAATCGACGCCGCCGCGATTCGCTCGCGCATCTATTCGCCTACGGGGCGTTTAAAGGATCACCGCGATGCTAATTGACCCAGAAATAGCGTAATGCCGATAATGGTCGCATAATTTCAGCCTATACGGGTAAAGGACTCGCGCGCACTTGGCAGCCTTGTCGTGCGGCTGTCGTCGTTATCGTCGTGCTCACAAGCGTCCATCGTCGTGGAACGAATTTACATCGGGTTGCGGAACATAAACGGAGTATACACAAATACGAAAAAAAGAAAAGACAAAAAGCGGCGCACTATCGGAGCCGTTCGGCAGCGCGTCGCGTCGCGGCGGCGGTGCTTTCGCACGATGATACTTATTTTCCAGCCGTTCGTCTATAATCATTCTCCCTTCTGCGAGCTATTAAAATCGTTGGCGATAACGAGTTGACGAGTGCTAATCTTGCATTCATCGCGTCGTCGGCGAGTCTCCACGTGCGAGCTGGACTCGGTCGGCGTGCGCGCTAAACGATATTATCATTAATTGGAGCGTGCAATTGGACCATGTTACGCAACACGGTGGTAACGCGTCGAGTGTGACATTTTTTTGCGAATCGGCAAAACTTATTTGAATAACGAGACATTTCTTATTTTATCAACCTCGGACTCGACGAAATCGCACGCGGTGTGCCGTAATACGCACGGCGCATTACGTAACGCGGTGCAATCGTGCAACCAAAAACGCGACACTCGAAAGTGAAACGATTCCGTCGAATTCGCGCTGCGAGCGCGCCGCGGCGAATTATTTACACTTATTCCAAAAGCAACCTCATGCAATCGGTCAGCAAAGAAATCGATGGAATCATCTCCGCCGGACACGGACGCGGCCGCGTATATACACGACCGCCAAACGCGGCGTTGCGCGTCGATTTTACACTTGGGAAGTTTCTGGGTCGGAGGCTTTCACTTTCTTTCGTTCCTTCTTCCGTTCTTTCGAGCGTTCCGTGCGCCGGCTGGCCCTTTTCGCTTTCATTTGACCCTTTTTCATTCACTGCAGCATCACAATCCGCGACAATTCTCCATTCTACCTGTGTCGCTCGCGTCAGTGCGCACTGTTCCAGGACTTTTCTCTCCTGCGCACGCTATCCGCGGCAGCAATAATACGTACGAGCGTGCGTGCGTGCGTGCGTGCGTGCGTGCGTGTACGCATTCGTTCGGACGCGACGTGTTCATGACGCAGGTTACTCACTTCCGATTCGTACCGGTCCGAACAAAAGACACGCTGTCAGAAATACCGGCGCACAATGAGGAACGGAAGTTCGATCGATCGTGTGTATTTTTTTTCAGCGAGAGTCGAGTCACGGCCCTCGTTTGCGTCGCGTTTGCTCCATTCGGATCGCGCGTCGTTACAGCATCTCAAATACACGCGGTAAATACACGAGTAAGAGCTTCTCGCCATATTGTTGTCGAATACCGTAAAGTTTAATGTCACGTCAGCTCGTGTTAAAATTATCGAGATAGTCCATAGTTGTTTTGCAACGAAAACACTAGTATTTACCGTGTAAAAAATACAGAATTACAAAAGTTCCTTAATATTAATATTACTTGATGCAAATATGAATAAGCAATAATGCTTGAGATTAAAGCGACCACTCATAATCGATTGTTCATATAAGAAATATAAGACTCATTCGCTTCGCGACAATATTTTAGTATTAATTTTCGAAAACTTGTTACTGCGCGATTTTTCATTATGTTCAGCGCTTTTGTAGTGCATTCCGACAGTACATTCTGCAAGTAACAGGAGGGAAAAACGGATGTATATTTCGCAACGAGTTCTGTTTCTGGCATTAATGTTCCGTTTCAAACGACATTATTCATCCTTTACCCACATCCTCGCTTCTCAGTGTTTTCCGTGCACTCCGCTATCAAACCCGCTATGCAAATCTTTATTAAGCTTTCTACACGCTTACGTTACTGTTATGTTGGCTTAACATGATGAACGGATGCAAAAGCGTCCGAATCAGATCGAATGTATTTTTTAACCGCTCGTTAGTTATCAAAAAAAAATTCATAAAAATGACTATTGTGAAATCGATATCAAGGCGATCTGGTTTCTCGATGTAGTCATTTTGGGCATGTTATTACGTATTCTCGGATGCTGCCGAATACGACGACCTCTCATAAATTTTTTTCTGGCAAACACGATGAACTCGCAAACTTCACGGATGATTCTGCAAGAATTCTAGTTTGAGTATAAACGCGACGTTTCGCTCAATCTCGAAACCTGGTGCACCCGATGCAATGACAACGACGATGACAACATGATGCATTCATCGACATACGAGCATGCTTCGCGCGCGGTCGCGCATAATTTGTGCTTGTGTGTGTGTGTGTGTGTGTGTGTGTGTGTGTGCGCGCGCGCGCGCGCGCGCGCGCGCTGGTTACGGCAGGAACGCTCGCTCGGTCACTTGTACGGGAAAGAGCGCGAGAGTGTTAGCGAGTGAATAAATGAGTCGGCGGGGTACGGGGGGGAAAGGAGCATGTACGAGGGAGAGAGAAGTGAGAGTGAGCGAGCGGGACGGCGGGGGGAGGGAGGGGGGGGAGAGGGAACGAATTAGCGAAAGAAAGAGAGAAGAGCGTCGCGGCTTTTCGCGAGGCAGAACTGAGAAGGTGGACAAGCGGGAAAGGGGGGAGGGGGGAGAGGGGGGGATGAGAGCGTGAAGGGAGGAGGCGAAAGAAAGACGCACGCACACGGTGAGGAAGACGGAACGCGCGTGGAGGTAAGGACAGGGTCTGCGAGAGAGATAGAGATATCGATAGCGGTTGTACGAGAGCAAGACGAGCATAGAGAGAGGAAGAGGAGCGGCGGGGCGGGACGGGGCAACGACAGAGACGGAGTGAGGTGTACGTAATGAGAGGGAGCGAGTCGCGCAGCTGCGTCATGTTCTCAACGAACTGGGTCAGTAGGTCTCCCCACCGCGCTCCGCGTCGCACATCTACCGCTCGTATACACACAAGCGCGAACGCTGGTGCCGTCGGGGAGTGCCAACGGCGTTGCTGTTGACCCAGCCGCGGCCTGTACGTGGCCCGCGCGCGACGCTCACCCGTCGTCGAGCTTCTACCTGGCGGCTCACCCGTGCACTTTGAAAGTAAAAGAGTCTCTCGGCTTCTCGCCGCCGCGGCACGCGGGTTCCGCGTACCCCCTCGCCGCCGCCTTTTGCGAGAACGAATTCCCCGACTCCACGCCCAAGATGCGCGGAGAGAACCGAAAGAAAGAAGCGAAAAAAAAAGAAGAAAAAAAAAATCCGATCCCGCCCGATACATTCGCGGAATGCGTCTTACGTCACTCGCAGGACCGGTCGCTTTCTCGGTTGCGAACCCGGTGAGAACTCCTCTTTCATTCGCACACGGCCCGATACGAGCCGTGTGCCACTCGTCTCCGAAATTTTCGCGCATAGTCGAAAATACTCGTTTCCAATTCGGAGGCGAATGTAAGTACGAGACGTACGCTCGCCGCGATTGATGAAAAAAACGTCGATGAAACGACGAAGACGGGACAACGATAACGAGGCGGCGACGCGCTCGCACGCTCGCGGACAATATTTCTCCGGCCGACATAGACCTGGTTCCGTAAGTAGGTCATCCCCCGCCATCGGTCGCGCAACCTCCTTCTCGCCCGGCCCTCCCCACCGGTACCTTCGACCACGGCAATACCAGCCGCCCGTCCGCCTCCGCTCCGCCGCGACCGCGTGCTACTCGCCCCTCCCGCCCGCTCCGTCCCGAGCGAGCCTCACTCAGGCGGGCACCTCCACTCCGCACACCGTCGGGTACCTGGCCGCGCGCGGTGGCATGCGCTGCTGAATCACTTTCACTTATGCCGTGCGCTGTGTTGGTTATACTCCGCGCGCGCGTTTCGGCTCTCTCGCTTGCTCGCTCGTTAGTATTGCGCCTCACTCTTTCTCTCTCTCTCTCTCTCTCTCTTTCTCTCTGTTTCTCGCCTCTCCGGCACTCGTTGCCCGTCGGTAAAGGGACACGCGCGCCTTCTCTCTATACCCACCGAAACGTCGAAGGAGTCTGACAGTAGTGCGCGCCTCGGCACCGTTCTCCGTGTATGGTTTCGCCCAATTTTCCGTCCGCTCGGCCACCTCGGCGTCATCGTAAACGCCGTCGCTCCGGTTTTTGGAGACGCGCCCGTCTGCTGGCAACGTGCGCAATCGGCGCCGCGCCACGCGTTATCGCGAAATACGGGAGTGCGCGGCAGAAGAAAACAGCAACGTCGCATCGTTTTTCTCGTCGCCGTCATTGTCGTTCCCGTACCTCTCGTCGGCTCGCCGCTCGCAGGAATAATTCGGACGCACCATTCGGACGTGTACCGTGTCAGAGGGACGCGCCGTTGTCGTGGATCATCGTCGTCATTAACGACATTGTTACCTCCAGCGCGCGCGGTGGCGATACGTCACGTATGCCGTGTCTCGCAAAGGCGGTCTCTACCTACTCCATGTGCCGACGGTAGGGCGACAGTGGAGGGGAGGGGGCAGGCCCTTCGGGAACGCAACGAGCCGAGAAGACAACTAGTCGTGCTCAGACAGGCAAGCTGTTAAGTCACGCGGTCGGTTCTGACACTCGATAGTCCGGTCGTCCATCCATCCGCTCGCTCGCTCGCTCGCCGATTAGTTATCCGAATCGCAGTGCGTGCTCGCGCTCTCTTTTGCCTACCTCCGTTCGCGCATAATCGCGATTATGTCATAAATGCGTCGTGTTGTTGACAATCGTACACTGTACAGGCTCCTTCAGTTTCGCGCTCGTTCATCGTCGTCGCGTCAGTCGCGTGTGTTTCCGTCCGTCTGTCTGTCTTTAATCGTGACGGCACCGACAACACCGGTGTTCGCGTTTTCTTTCGGACGGACGTATTAGCGTATGTAACGAGATTCCTATCTGCATTGTGCACGGCGATAAGTTGGATTACAGTGTGGACGCGAGGAGACAGCGGCTCGAAAAGAGGGGCTTGGTGTGTTTTACTTTGTGACGAATGTTCTCGCGCACGGATATCGACAATCGTTATCATGTTTCGGACGTAGCCTTTGATCGACCGCGCGATTTCGACGAATATAAACCCGTTTGGTGGTGCGTAATGATTCCTCTCGGTAAACCTGTGTGATCCGTGAGAGAAAAAGAGCGAGCATAACTGGTGATCGATATTATTCTACGTGACACGGGGAAACCGGAGAAGTCCGAGTGTGCTTTCCCTCTTCCCGTACACGCGGGGAAGCGCGGCTTCTCCACTTCGCCGTGATTGTGTCATTCGTTTGTCTTTCGTTACCGTCGTCTCAACGTCATTGTCATCGTCACTGTCGACGGCGACGTCAGCGGGTGCGCCAGGTCTCGCGTTTCGTGCACGTTAACAACTGGCGCATTGTTGCCAATCCTCGCCAGCCGGAGATTGCACTCGCGCGAGCTAAGCGGATCGAGAACGACGTGTCCCGCAAACGTAATGGACTCGACAAACCGAGAGATACGCAAGTGTAATTTATCGTTACTCTGAAATCGGCTGGATCAGCCTAACATCTGTAGTGTCTAGCCAGAAATTCGGCAAAGAGATCAAGGAACGAACGTTAAAAAGAAAAAGGAAAAAAACCCGAACGAAAAAAAGTACCGTCGTTGTCGCAAGGGCTGCATCCGAGAGGAGCTCCGATAGTCGTTTCATATATGTGCCGATACGCGAGCACGTCCGTCCGTCGTGCGGTGTTTCTCGCGCAAGGGTGATATGTTAGTGGAGATGGAGCAGCATTCGGGCCTGATATCCCTGAACATGTCACCGTTCCACCTGAGTCCGCAGGGCAGCCCGCAGGCCGCCGGGTCGCAGCAACCCCTGCAGCAACAGCCGCAACCGCATTACGGCGCGTCGTCTTATAGCAATTGCGCGCAGAGTTCGCCATCGCCCATATGCCACCAGCCGCAGCCACAGTCGCAGCAACAACAGCAACAACAACAACAGCAGCAGCAGCAGCAGCAACAACAGCAGCAGCAGCAGCAACAAATGTCCGTACACAATCAGGCGGCGCAATCGCAAGGAATGTCGGGTTTCGAGGCTGTCTTTTTCGATAACGCGGCCACCCTCGAGAACCGGTGTCCCATGTGCAATAACAAGAATATATCCGGTTATCAGTACGGTGCTAATGTACTCACGTGCGAACATTGTAAAGGTTTCTTCAAGCGCAACAGCTCGCCGTGCAGCGGCAAAAAGGTCTACACGTGTCTCTTCTCCCCTCCGGGGGGTGGCGGCGGCGGCGGCGGTGGTGGTGGTGGCAGCGGTGGTGGCAATGGCGGTGGCGGCAATAGCGGTAACGGTGGTAATGGTAACAACGGCGGTAGTGCTTGCGGCGCGTCCTCGGCGCTTGAGATTTGCGCCAACAAGAAGGTGTACACGTGTCTGTTCCCGCCAACAGGACCCGGAAGCGGTAACGGCGGCTGCGGCGGTACGTCCACCGGCATGGAAGGCAACGGCGGCGGCGGAGGCGGTTATAACACTGGCAACGGCGGAACAACGCCGCCGGCGGCGGTGGCGGTGGTCCAGGTGCCGGCACTGCCGCTGGCGGCAACGGTCCAGGTACGGGTAACGCCGCGGGAAGTGGCAATATCGTCGGCACGATTCCGACCGGCGGCGGTACCCTCTGCCACCCCGGACTGGTGGGCCAGGTCGGCATCGTCACCGGTTCGTTGCCGTGCCCATCCGACTTCCCGGACACCAAGGACATCGTCATCGAGGAATTGTGTCCGGTGTGCGGAGATAAGGTGTCTGGATATCACTACGGTTTACTCACTTGCGAATCCTGCAAGGGCTTCTTCAAGCGCACCGTCCAGAATAAGAAGGTCTACACGTGTGTCGCCGAGAGGTCCTGTCACATCGACAAGACGCAGCGGAAACGGTGTCCCTACTGCCGCTTCCAGAAGTGCCTCGAGGTCGGCATGAAGCTTGAGGGTGAGTTTTTTTTCAACCAATTTTAATTAATATTGCCGTAGAATAATTAAAAAAAAAAAAAAAAAGTGGACGAGCAAACGGAGTAGCGAATAAAAAAAATAATTTTATTCGAAACTTTCTTTGCCGTATCGCGCTTCATCGGGTTCGTTTATTTTAACGAGAATATTGTGTTTGCACTCGCTATGGCGTAACTATCGTCCGAACTTTACAGCGACAATTTACGTTCGCTGCTCACTCTTTCTTCGTTTGCTCAGTGTGTACTTATCTTACGACGACTGAAAATGCAAACGAATATATTATTAGAGATAGTTTTGAGTAAACTGAAAGAACACTATAGAAAAATTGTTAAAGTATGTTGTAAAATTGTACTATGCAAATTATAATGGGAAGAGAAAAAAAAATAGGTATTCACGGGAAAACTAACTAACAATGAAGTATTTTGTAAATTGCGAGTATGAGAATAACTTGTAGAACTTTTACATCGTATTGCATTGCCAGTGTGCTGACAGTGAGCGTCGCTCGGTGACAGTACATTATTCTCAAACATCACGAAATTATATGTCGTATAATATCGGCAAACATTGTTAAATTTAAATTGATTTAGTAAGTCGGAATAATTGTAGATTTATAACTGATTATAGATAACATCTCGTGAGATTTTATCGGTAGATGTAATATGATAAAAAAAGTCTTTAGGTGCATACGCAGTTCAAAAATTCTAATCGATACATATAAAATATTCAAAGCGCAAAGAATATATTCAATTCAATATCTTCATCCTTTATTTATTACATATTTTATATGTTATACAAAAAATGTCAAAATGATAAAATTAGTTTCGATCAGTGCGTTATGTTATAATAATTATCGTCACAATATTCCTTGATGGCACAACAACAATGTATTTTGCATACGATATTTTGATAACAATGAGTGATAACGAGTGCATTTTGATATAACATTAACTAATTATCAAAATTCGTGTAAAACAAAAAACTTCGTTACAGTAAACGTTAACTTTAAAATGATATGCGTGCATTAAATCTACATGTATTCAGCGTACAAATGTAGTTTCGCATAGGATATTCAAATGCAAAGTTTTTTTGTCGTTGTTATGAAAAGCGCACTTTGTGAATATCCGATTTCACGTGTGTACGTAATCGCGCGTTATTTATCGATCGCATCGCGCATCGCGTCATTTTAATAATTTCGCGTTTTACTTTCACCGAGCCGAGTCTGCCACCAATAGCGGTCCGTTGTCACCGCGTTATTATCAAGTTTTATGTTATCTCTTATTAAATATCTCCGCTGCTCACGTCGCTAACCACACGTCAAAAGCCGTTTACGCGTATACGCGTGCCCACTCAAGTCGTCATCGTTGTCGTGTCGTGTCGTCGCCGTCGCCGCCGCCGTCGCTGCCGCCGCCACCGCCGCCGCCGCCGCCGCCGTCGTCGTTGTTGGTCGTGCTCGATTCTCGTCGGGCGTTTCCGCACCACGCTCGTACGAACTTAACCTTATTACACACAGTGGAAGCGATTAACCGAGTCTCACCGCGTGCTCTCTTTCGCCGTTTTAAAGCTCGGGGACGCGCGCTCGATGGCGAGCGATGGCACATATCTCTTATAGCCGCGAATCGATCGAGAGCGCGCGCCTCTTCCACGCGATATTTGAGTCAGCGAAGGAACGGTCGTTACTACACGCCGGACAAACGAAATTACGTCACGGCCTGGCACTAGTAACACAATTACGCGCCATTATCCATGCGCTTACGTTCGACCTCGTTTAACTCCTGCGTCGACATTTCTTTCTAATTAATAGAACGGTTTTATAAAAACTTTATTCGTACACGTGATATATAAGTTGTGTTACGATAAACTACCTATGCGAATGGATATTCTATAAAACTTCTTTTTTTTAATTAATAAAAAGTTAATTAGACATATGCCACATTATTTAACAAACATGAACAATATTTTTATATTTCCAATTTCTAAATGTAAATATGAGTGCATGAGAAACCGCTACCACCGTGTTCTATATAACAGGTACATTAAATACGCACGCGTTCGATCGATGCTCCAATTTCGACGCGTTGCGCCGCTCATTATTGCGTTGTATATTTTAAAATGTGGAGTTTACGCTTGTTGCTAGAAACACAGTTTAGTCGTAGCATCTAATGCAATCCGAGTAACTGGGTCTAGGCCCTCAAGGCCCAACGATTAAGCGAATCTCGAAACAGCCTCTGTCGCAATTGCCGCCTTTGCACACCGTTTTCCACGACGTTCCTACGGCGGCGAACGAGGAGGGATATTGCTTAATGCGGAAAGTTTCCAGAGTGCTTGCGAGTGTTTACGAAAGGAAGGGATTTCTTTCGCTGTGCTAACCGTTTACAAACGTAAGAAAAAAAATTTTTACTTACGAAAATCACACGGAAGATACGTACGCTCGCGGGAAACAACGGTTACAAAAAGTAATCAAGCTGAACGAGCATAATTTTGGGTGTGTGTGTGTGTGAGAGAGAGAGAGAGAGAGAATAAGAGGAAAAGAGAAAGAGAAGATCAATAAATCATAGATATAACGTACTCGGAGTATTCTTAAGTGATAATGTCTGTTGCAATTTGCCGGACGCTGCGATTTTGTCACTTTATAAATGCAAGCTGAAGTAAAAAACTGCCGTCTGGCTTTCCCTCTTATTGTTTGCCATTGTCGTTACTGTATTTGATGTTTCGAGTTTCCCTCTCACGCGTCATTTACCTTAGCGTTTAATAAATTATTATTCCTACGCATTCTTCCATTAAAAGTTGTGTCACGACTCCGAAATCGATTGTTGATTAATCGTCGCGATTTTAATTGGCACGAGTCTGCTTTCTCGAATTATTCACGACGCAACCAAAATCGGAGCCGTCGATGCCGTGCGTGAAAGAGATGCGATGAGGCGCGAAAAGAGCGGGCGGGACACACTTGCAGTAATCGCGCGATAACACCTATCACAAATCTGCAGCAAACTCATAATTTTCAACGATGCATGAATACGAGAACAAAGCTCGTACGTTCAAAGTACGTTCAGCGTTGTAGTTTTTCATATGAACGATTTTAAAAATCTCGCGGTCCGACAAGACGTTAATGTTTATAATAGAATTTTCCGGGGCGCGTTAAAAGATATATTTATATCTACATATGTGCGACCGCAAGCGATAAGAATTGTATATATTGCATTATACTTGCATAGAAAAGTAACTAGTTTTTCTAAGTAGTATAATAGAATTTTATATTAATGGAAATAATATTTAAATACAAAGGCTAAATGTTTGTAAATGCAGTAAAGGAAAACGAAATTCCGTGCTCCCGATATTATCCAACGCGTCGCGAAACGGTGCGCTTTTACGCAATTTACAAGCATACGGCCGTACGTATGCGCAATAAAGTGCCAACGCTCAGGTTTCAGTTTCGCAGGTGCGAACAATTTGCCCGGTTAAATAAGCTTATCTATTTTCGCTCTGACGATAAAGATATTTTACTTTTTCTTAGATAATTCGGCATCATAATACTCTTGTAGTTTGTCGACTTTCGACCATTTTAATCTTTTTTTTTCTCAAAACGAATGAATTTTGTCCGCTACGCGATAAAAATATAATTCATGTTCAAAGGATGCACGCGAACGCGTTACGATATATAAGAATGTTGGCTCTTAAGTTGCAGGACGTTGCCTCGCGATTATTTTTTCCGCTCACGATATAATATAATATTTATGTTACGGAGCGTTCCACGTTTCGGTGAAACTAATATTGAAACAAAAATATTTTCGCATAGAAATATATGTGCACAATCAACATCAGTAAGGCTTTAGACTACCGCGCGACGAAAGGTGTACCGTCACGTAGGCAAGCTCTCCTTATCAAAATTACGTTCAAATAGCGGCGATAAACAAAAACGTAGTTTCACATTCGACAGAGTGAGTGCAACCTGAGTGAAATACGTTCGGCGTGTGTTGAATACATTTTGCGCAATGGAATGCGAAATTCGAACAGCGTTGGATTTTAAAAAGATAAGATTTGTGGAATTATCGAACTTTGCAGTAAAGTATCCTTTATAATAGCATAATGCTATAATGCAGGATAACAGCGAATAATATCGCACAAGATAGAAATAAAAGCGATAAAATTAGCATAAAGTCGCCCCCGCATCTCTTCTTTGCTCTGATCGACCTCGCTCGATCGCTCGTTTCTAAAGAATGATCACAGTATTCTCTTTGTCTCTCTTCCTCTCGTCAAGGTTCGCCGATTGTTCTTACCGACAGTATAGCGTTATAGTTTATCGCCACTACGTTCATTATTACCGGAGTAGTTTCATAGTAATGAGTCATATTTAAACGCCAATAACTATCTGTACAAATACACGTAGCTCGAGATGCCGGAAGACAATCACGCGTGGTGCACAATAAGAAATTACGCCGTTTTTATGGAGGGCGAAGGGGAGGGGGAGGTTTTAAAGCTGGATAGTATTTCACGATCGTCGTTTGCGGCCACGGGAACGCCTTCTCCTGTACGACGTATGCGACACGTACGAGCGGAAAGCTCGTTAATCCTCTCGCAGCGTAATAACGCATACGTATACACACGGACGCAGCAAGTTTGTCTCGGGATCGGTGCAAAAACCGTAATTTCCGTTGACGATAAAATACCGCGCAAGAAGTTTTCCACCGATTCGCGAGCTACTTACCGCTGAGTCAGGGAGATTCGAGTTTTTGAAGCTCGTGTGCTCGTTGGTTTATCAACGCGCCGCAACGCCGGAGGATGAGAAGAGAGTGAGAACCACTCGTCACGAATCTAGACATTCTTTGTTTACGATCGCGTCTGTCGCGTGCAGCAAAAGGGGGTCCGGAGTCGGCACCGAGTGCACGACGCGACATACGAAGAGAGACGCGGGTCGGGACATGTCGCGCGATTTCGCTCGGTAGCAACAATTTTATTCCCTCGTGCAAGCGTGTCTATATATAGAGG